CCTTGCTATGTGACCGAAGAATTCGAGGATCCTACGCAAACAGAATTTGGTCAACTTAACGGTGACTCCCACTTCTTTAAGAATTGACGCATTTGTGCGGTGGGCTGTCCACGGAACTCGTAACATTCTCCTCCAATACCACATCTCAAATGCCAGCCTACTAATCTTCTCTTTATTAGCGCAGGCATCTTTTATCAATGAACTGGGGGAACAGACTACCACCACGCGAACCTAGTTGGGGTTGCCAACCTTACTATATAAATAACTAGCTGTGCCCCCATGGCGTTACCCGCGGTTTATTAGGGATATTTTTCCGCAGTAAAACGTAGCCTATCTGTTAATTCAGGGTGTCAGCTAACTCCATACAGAATTTTATTTTAATCGCTCCAACCATTTAGACGTGAAGAATTAACAAACACACACTCACAAACTTTCGCTTTTATAATATTAGTGTGATATAGTATAGTATCCTACTCTTTTAGTAGAAGATCAAATACCACGTTTCAAAAAAATATACATATACAGGGCGTCCCACGGGTACCTTACACGCAGGGAAAGTATATTAAATATTGAAGATAGGATATTTTACCGAAAGAAGACATCATTTTATTTTTAATCATAACTAGAACTGCATTCACAGATTTTTTAAAAATCGCCTACTAAAACGGGGAATCAAACTCGTGAAATTTCGAAAAAAAAAACACTACATGTTTTATGATAATCATCGAAAGAGTTAATCATAAAAAATATTTTATGCTAAATAACATAGCATTTTAAATGAAAGAAAAGTCATAAAATTACACATTTTATTAAAAATATTCAACAAAAAGTAATACAAAACGAAATGTATCAAATGTTCAAAATGTGATCCGATTTGTAGGATGCAAATTCTCACTCTATTAATGTTTTCTCTGCCTGTCGATTTCATTATCTTCGCGTGGTGAATATTTGTAAGAATACGTCTGAGTTATTTTGTAACTCCTGCACACCGTCTTACCGGTTCTTATATACTACATCTGTTACATAACCCCACAAAAAAGTCCAGTAGGGTTAGATAGATCTGGGGATCTCGGCCATCTTATTTGTCCATAAGAACCGATCCAGGAAGGAAAGTGTTCATTAAGAAACTCGGCAGTTCTCCTACTGTCCCATTTTGCTGGAAAATGAAATTTCGTCGATTTGCATCAGGAAGATTATTGATCTCACCTCTTAAAATATTAAGTATTTCTAGACATCTTTCCGTATTTAGATTCCCTTTGTAAAAATGTATTATGAGAACCCGGTTTTTAACTAAAATGAAAAGCACAAAAAAAAGAACAGTACCCTTAGCACGAACCAATATCGAATTCGAATAGTTTTCGAGTGCGAAATGTGTACTGTGGTGCTGCTGTATAAGTTTCCATACAAAAGTTGACATTGACATTTCACACTCGCAAACTATTCGAATTCGATAATGGTTCGTGCTAGGGGTACAGACGCTTGAAAATGTATGTGTTCTATTTTCGAATTATTATTTTTACAAATTTCAGCCAATCGCATTGTAACTGAGTTCAAAATGAAATGCATACGTAAGTACTACAGTTTGTATATCACTTTATTCTTTTTATCACGTAATAAGACATTCCCTTCATTTAAAATGCTATGTTAATTAGTAAAAAACAATCTTTATGATAAACCCTTTCGATGGTTATCATAAAATACCTCGTATTTTTTTTTCGAAATTTCACGAGTTTGATTCCCAGTTGTAGCAGTCGATTTTAAAAAATCTGTGAATGCAGTTCTAGTTATTATCAAAAATGAAATGATGTTTTCTTTCAGTAAAATATCCTATCTTTAATATACTTTCCCTCCGTATGAGGTAGCCGTGGGACGCCCTGTATATGTAAGCGTAGTAGGCGAAACTTCTATGTTTTGCGTAAAGCGGACTTTTCCCACTAAAGAAAGCTTTCTTTAAGGCGATACGATTTCGGTAATATTGTTCGAAAGTTCAAAATTACGGGTCATACAACGGAGCAAGCGGTAAAACCGTTTTACCATACGCTCCCATATATGGCGCCGTTTGTATCGTTTACGGTTTTTTTTTTATTTCGTTCGAACCTCCTTGGAAGCGCTTTTAATCTATGCCTTTCATTCGTCTACTCGTTTGAAACAACCAACTTACCGCACTTATATCATAAATAACCATTTTTCATTTTATAAATATCGAAAATTGCCTATATGAGTGTTTACACACTATATTTTTCCTAAATAACTAGTAGTGTTTAATGATAAGTAAATTAAGTTACAACTAGGTAATGCACTCGTCGAATAAATTCACCGGCTAAAATTGGCTCAGATTTAACTTTAAGCCCCTAATAACTTGCTCCTACTCGCAAATTCAGTAGGGATTCAACGGTCAAACCGGGTCGGTGCTACCGTTGGCTTAAGCACCAACGGGCCTGTCCACATATCCACGTTACCACGGCGTCAAAGTGGAATGGTGCGTGTCGTGCTAGTGCACGGCATGGGAACGTCGCCGTGGGACGGCACGTACGACGTCGTCGTTAGCCGACGTGGCTAGAATGCGCTAGCTCAGTTAATGGTGTCCATTCTGTCATGATTCTCTAAACTTAAAACTAAATCTAACTTCAGTCTCTCCTTTTCATTCTGTATAAAGAATGACAAGGATACACACTTATAAAATTTAAGCTTAGTTTTGGAGAACAATGTTAGAATCGACACCAATGTTTCATTGTCTTAGCGATACTTATTACATAGGTATTATTAACTACTTAGTCAATAAAAGATGTCGGAGTCTTCGAAGAACATTGCTTGTGATTTCACTTGTAAGCAGAACACGACGTTTTGTCCGATTCATATCTAAACAAGACTACTTCACCGGAATGTACCGGAATTTTACAAGGCACGGCGCGGCGACATATAACATCGCGGCCTCGTTACATGCATTTACCAATACGGTAACGTTTATTTACACGTCATGTCAACTCCCCATGCCGCGATACCGCACCGTTCTACGTTGACTACGTCGTGACGTGGAGATGTGGACAGGCACCACCTACAAAGTTGTTTAACAAGATTTTTGTTTCGTTCCAGTACTTAATCCGGGATCTACTCATTAAGTAACAACTGCTGGCTAAGTCTTCTTACAAAGATCCACTTTCACAAGTATACCACCTGATGATAGATAGTGGCGGCAAGAGGACAATAAAAATAATAATAGGGCTAAGTTTCTCCCATATGTTTAAGTTGTAGACTACAAAATTTTTGTTTCAATTTAAAAAAACCATCGTATAATATCTAAAGAAGTTATACGCCAATATTACTGCATTTTGAAATTTCGAACTGACATGCAAAAGAGAAAGCTTTTAAAAAAAAACAAGCAAACCTTACAGTAGTCGCGTAGATATGACACCTTATTAAATAAAAAAGGAATAAAACCTACTACAAAAGGAATAAGCCAATTGAACATTATGTTCTTAAATCAAATCGAATAGCGCGCGCTTCACAAACTTCCTGTTACACACTTCCGTCACACTTCACATAATCACTCCCACAAATTGAACGGAAGCGAGAGGAAAGATGTTACACATCAAAAACAAATAAATGAGTGTTGTTGTTCGTCATTGATTTTGAAAAGTGGATAATTGTATCTTATATATAAAATTCTCGTGTCACAATATTAGTTACCATACTCCTCCGAAACGGCTTGACCGATTTTTATGAAATTTTATATGCACATTCAGTAGGTCTGATAATCGGTTTCTATCTATTTTTCATACCCCTAAGGGTTGTCTATCCCTAACTTTTTATTTTTATTTTTAAACAAAATTTTATTTTTTAGTAATGTAGCATAAAAAAATACATACTACCCAAAATTTCACCCTTCTACCACCTTTTATGGCGGTACGAAGTTCGCTGGGTCAGCTCGTTTTATAATAAGAAGTTCTGCCTAGGTACTACTTAGTTTTAATACCCACACATTCCACACATTATTTGAGAAAAGTACTATACAAACCTTGGCGACAACTAGAAATTAAATTACTTACGTATGCCTACATTTACACGTTCGTCCATCAATGCCTTTTTTGCTGGCCGCTGCAGTAATGTACTATTATGTGCATACCAAACTAAAAGATTCATTTACAAGTTTTCTGTCAACTAATAAATCTATTCCTAAGCTCTCTTTAGTCAACAAATCCATTAAATGGATTCCCCTTGCGCTTCTTAAATCACTGTCAGAAGGATAACATAATTGGATTAAAGTCTAAATGTACAGGTAAGCACAGTGACTGAAACAACTCGGAAACAAAGAAATAAAGCAGAAATGTCGAGTAAAGATACATACAACCTACATAGTCACTTGGATATGGGTTCATCTGGGTATAAGTAAAAAATTTTATTTAGGTATTTAAATTACTTTTTTTGGAGGAGCTCGTTGGCGCAGGTTGTTAGCGCGTTTGGCCGCGATCGTTAAAGTTAAGCAACTTTCGCAGTGGTCGGTAATTGGATGGGTGACCAAAAATCTTCTATCTCGAGTTCCTCCGTGCTTTGGAAGACACGTTAAGCCGTTGGTCCCGGCTGCATCTGCAGTCGTTAGCACCCGCTAATCCGTATCCGTATCCGTACCCGCTATCCGGGCCGGCGTTGTTGGTCATGGCCCAATCTCCCTATTCCATCCATAGGGTAGGCCTGTGCCCCAGCAGTGGGTACATTAATAGGCTGATGATGATGATCTGTTTTGTTACGCCTTTGAATATACATCTAATATCTACAACAACCTCTTCGTATTTTTTTTCAACAATTAAAATTATTTAAGTTGTTTTTGTTTATACAAAAAAATCAACTAAAAATTGCCTATAAAGTCTTTAGTATAATTTTTGTAGTGGGTCTTTATAATTATCAGTCGCAATATTAATATAAGGTATCAGGAACGGCTAATTTTAATAATGAATTAAAAATCCTAATAACTGTAAATGGGTGAATAAAAAAAATCGCAAGCGCTTATTAAAACATTCCCTTTATTAAATTAGACTTACAATGTAATAGATTGAAAAAGACAGATTATTTTACTTATTCGCAAAATAACCGTAACTTTTGTAATCGTCAATAATATTTCGAACAACGGTTTTGAAATTTACCACAGCTTTTGTTTTCTCTTCCTGTGTTTTAAATACTTGTTTACTCCTTACATGGCCCTCTTCTTGCAATCCATTACTGAGCCACAGAGCAGTGTTTGCAACGATAAAACAAGCTGGCGCTACAGTATTTAAATCGTCATCAAACATACTTCTAGAATAAGTCAGATCTGGATCAATCCCTGCGCTGCGTAAAGCTTTCGCTAACTGTTCGTAGTAAATGTCCAAAAAGTTTTTGTAATGCGCTCTTCTCAAATTTGTATCCGAGCTTATTGTAATCAAGTATAATGTGTCGAATGCGGCACTGCATATTCGAGTTGTTTGATAATCTATCAGACAAGCAGATACGGGTTTGTGATTCTGAAAAAAATCAAAGTGCTGCAACATCTATGCTTTAGGCTACCAAAGAAAAAATGATTCTTGCATGAAAATTAAAAATATTTATATTGGTTACTTATATGTTAAATGGGAGGGCACTTTATACAATACAACAACATTGGAAGAGGAAATTAAGGAGTAACCATGGAAAGACAAGGTAAGACGTAAATCTGAATAAAACGGTTTAAGATTGTATAATATTGATACTTAGAGAAGATTTCCCCAAAGAAGATGTTTAAAATGAATACCAACCTCATATTTATACAGAATATTTTCCTTCCAAACATCACCATGACAAATGCACAGCTTCCACGTTGATAACGTAGCGGCTTCTAAATACTTAACCAAATTTGTCTTGAGTTCCGTTAACAGTGTCAAGTATTCTGTATTTTCAAACAGTTCAATGACTTTCTCCAGTCTATCTAGAATCACTTCCACAAACCTCTTGTTATATTTTTCCATCAGAGGAGGAAACATTTTTGCTGCTTCATCATAATGGCTTGGATCTCTTTCGTTTAAAACAAAAGAGAGGGAGTGAAAAATCGCCAAGGCTTTTAAAGACTCGATCATGTGGTCGTGATCAAGGAAAACTTTATCTACGTAAGTCTTATAACCTTCAGCACACATGTTTTGCATTACTATAACCTCTTTGCAAAAATCCTCACAGATGTAATAGCATTTCGGCGAAGCGTATTGTAAATCTGATGGATAGTCCAATAAGAACTTGCGATAATTCGTTAGTAAAGTGGAATAGACGTACATTTCTCTGGCAAACATTCGGGTTACTGCTCCGCTCGCTCTGTATCTCTCATCAGTCGGTGCCAATTTCAACACTAAAGAGAGAGTAACTTTGTTTCCCTTGTCTTCGCCACTTACAACCACCGGCACGACTATACCGAAGTAATTTTGACCGATATTTTTGAATTCCTTCTGTTTGTAACTGAAGTCGGTCAATTTTAACACCGAGTTAACATCAGCCATGACGATTTTTATGTATTCTTGTAATGAAGTCATTTTAGCAAATATTACATTAATTATGACTGCGTAGACCTTAGTTTTGACGCGTGTAGTTATTTCTGTGAAAAGTTTATAATTTATACTCTGCAAATATTATTTAATTAACAAAGACCTTTTCATCAAAAATAATGAATCATTGTTGTGCCCTGGAAGTACAGTTTTGCCAGAATCACTTCAGCTGTTATCGGCCAAGTGTTGTAGTTGTCACTACCGAGCTCCCTGATGTCTTCGGCATGTTTGTAGAATGGCACAAGTTAATATTCAATGCACACTCATATGTTGTGACAAAGCTCTGCTATCATATTGAGTTTTTATAACGTGGATCATTGTCACATGAAGCAAGATAGAAACACTTGGTATAAACTGAATGAAAATGGATTTAATAATATTTAGATGGTAAGAAATACAATAAGATCAAACTTTATTTTACAAAGGTTGCTATTACAACAATTTATGGACTAAAGTTTTATCTATCAGATGACTCAGCTCTTCACATAACACGTAAAAGAGATCATGTATCTCTCTTTCACGTGTATAGCGCTATATACCATCTACCGCTAATACCAGGTTTTAGATACGGGCTTAAGGATGGTTGTATGGTAATTTATACCTGGTCTCATAGACTTCTAAAAAACTATTCAAATAATAACACTAAAAAAGATATAAATTAAAAAAGAAGTCTTACAATTCTTTAATAAGAAAGACGTAAAATATAACAAACTAAAATTATTTATAAAATTTAAGATGAGATGTATGGGGTTTTTTCCCTTTGCCTTCCCAGGATAAAGAACATTAAAAAAAATGTAACTCTTCAAAATGGTGTTCATATTTACTTAGTTTTTTATTTTTTTCTCTTAAATACTAAAAATGCGCTATTTAGCTTTAAGTACTTCATTAACAGAGACTTATTCAACAAAAAGAAAATGTACTCGCAGTCCGTCTAAGTACAATTTTAATAACCTGCCTGTTTCACCAATATAAAATTTGACAGATATGGTAAATATTAAATAATAATATCATACTTACGGTTATCGTTAACATTTGATTGACCGCTCCCGGTGCAGTGTTTATTATTCTTAACATTTCATAACCTCTAAACGGAATTGTGTTATAATCGTAGGCACTAAAGTTAGAAATATGATAAGACAATTCTACCTTAGCTTTGGTTTGTTTGTTGCACGAAAGAGATGATTGTGAATTTAACTGTTGAATATTTGACCATTACACTAACCTTTATTCAGACTTTTCTAAATTTAGCATTTTGTTACCAAACAAAAGATTGTTCAGATTACTACAGATAAACGGAACGTGAGCGTATGACCACAGATTAGGGTGTTGGATCTTTAGGCTACGTTCAAAAACTAATATGAAATGTTTATATTTAGGGACGTCTCGCCAATTTCCAAGCTCTTATTATTAACAAGCACTATGATCTAAACCATTAAAACTTATTAACGATAAGAGAAATTATGGAATTGACAGAATTTCTTTAATAATAATTAATTGCAACAAACATATTAGCTCATCACTTAGCCATTTTGTCTTTGCGGCACACTTTATAGGTACCTTAGATTTTTATTATTAGCTCGTTAATTTTCTTTAATACCTACTTGTAAATGTGTGCCGTTCATACAAATAATATCTATCTACCACTCGAATACACATATAAAATGTTATCGATCTCGTTTAGGATATGTTCCGTTACACATGACTAGAGGTTTCGATCCCGGGATCCCGGTCATATTTTAGTCCCGAAATTTTCGGTATTAAATGAAATGAATCCCGGGATTTTCGGGCTTGATATATTTTTTATATAAGTCAATAAAAATATGCGTAAAACGAAACGCACTTACTTTCATTTGGGAAAGAAAACAAGCGCGAGAAATAAACAGTGTAGTTAAAGCAGGGTGGCCATAGTGGCAGCAGGCAACCTGCTTAAACTACACTGTACATTTCTGGCGCTTGTTTTCTGAGTCTGAATCTGAATCTGAATCTGAGTGCACTCTGGCCGTACACTTTGACGATTTGACTGCCATCTTGTTTACACAGCTGACTTCATTAATTTTTGGTAACGACCGGTACCGAATTATGTGTAAAAGTATGTCAAAATTCCGATGCAAGTCGTGTAAATATTGATATTTTTTTGTTAATTGCCTGAACGCGCTTTTTCCGCGTTTTCCTATTTGTGCAACAAATTAATTAAGACGTTGCAATATATATAAAATAAAAAGTTGATTTTGATATGTTTTACCGTCTTTCTGTTACCACTTTCTATTACCAATACAATCCCGGGGCTATCCCGGGATCCCGAGATTAACAATAGATAATCCCAAAATCCCGGGATTAGAATAATCGACCGGGATCGAATCCTCAACACATGACCGGAGAAATAATAAAAAGAAGAAAAAACCTTCATCAACAATTATGTTTAATTATGCATCTACAGTGTGATTCAGACAAGGTAGTAATTTACAAAACTTACGGCTTTACTCCACAAAATACACACCACTACGTTCATCTATCGCAATTCAGGTAAATATCCCAAATCTACGAAATCCATCATCAGATGGTCAACCAATTTCCCAACTTTTACAGCATCTTTCTCTTTTATGGGTGGCGGGACCTTATCGGGCGACATCGAACATTCCAAATCTATAACCCCACACCATATAGTGTACGAGAAAACTGTGATTATCAAGCAAACAGGCACTGCTAGTTTCAAATCATATTCAAAATCCTCGTATGAGTAACCAACGGATACCTCGACGCCATTGCTCTTCAAAATACTGTGTAAGCTCTCATAGTAATAATTTAGGTAATCGTGGAAATGTAGTTTTCTATCAGCTGCATCTGTTGAGGTCATAATTAAGAAGAGTATATCCTGTGCAAGGTTTATACTCCGAGTGTGTTGAAAATCGATCAAGCACGCGTCCACTGGTACGCCATTCTGTTGAAAACAAAAGAATGTCTTTCTTTAAAAGATAAAGAGAGTTGCCACAACAAGAACAGTAAGATTGACAGGGACCTTTTTTTTGTGTCTGGGAAATGCATTACGCATCCTTCAACCACTGGGGGAGCGAGAAGAAGGTATGTGGGACTCCTCTCTGTCCCCTTCAGCCAGCCCTGGGGCTCGCTGAAGTGAACAGGGCCCTACCTACGCCCTGAACAGGGCCACTAAAACCCAGACAATACTCCTGCACCGTAACCCGACACGCACTATAAGGACCGCGGTCCCCCTAGTGCGTGCCGAGAGGGCGAGTGTGGTCGCGAAACCCGTCTCCGAATGGCCGCGCACCCGCCAGATTGACAGGGATCTACGGGGCAGGGTTTGAATTTTTTTAGTAAAAGATCCTGGTCACCCCAAAATTGCCTACAGAATTTTAGGAAAAGTAGGAACGTATGATCGTATATTCGCTAATCTGAAAGCGGGACCGTTTCATAGATATCAGAAAAATATGCTAACTTACGTCAAACTAGGAAAGCTGGTATATACTTTGTCACAAATAATTATGTTATAAACAAAGATCCATGGTTATCAGATACTTCCTGTAGATCACAACTCTTACCAGATACTTTGAAGTAGTAAAAAATTTAGGAACACACATAATTTTAGGAAGCCTGAATTTTATATAAGCATAATATTTTAAGATTTTTTTCCGAAGAGCCTGACAAATTTTATAGACCAAACATCCTCCCAAATAAAAGAAAGAAAAAGGCCCATAGAAAGTGTCATTATATAATTCATAATAATATGTTACGGTAAAACCGTACAGATGAAAAGAAATGTTTGAGTTCTAAATATGGGCAACCGTATTAAGAACCAACCCCCAAAATTTATAGTTTTTTTCTATTTTTGTGCGATAATCCTTATGCGGTTCACAGAATACATCTACTTACCAAGTTTCAACAGTATAGTTCTTATAGTTTCGGATTAAAGTGACTGTGACATACGGACAACGAATCCAAATCGGGTTCCGTTTTTTACTATTTGGCTACGGAACCCTAAAAACCAGCATCTAGCAGATTTGATTTCTGTTTTTGATTCAATTTTTATGCTGTAAATAAAAAGAGGTGCAATGCGTTATTTTACTTATTAAATAATAATTAAAAAGTACTTACAGAATATTTAAACAAAATGTTTTCTTTGTAAAAATCACCATGCCCGTACACTTTCCCTTTAGCTTTATCTACACCGTCTTCCATATATTTCTCTAAACCTCCACACAATTTCTCCAGAAAATCAAAATAATATTTATCTTTAAATATAAAGAAACTTTTATTGATAGCATATTTTAATATCGCGGTGAAATCTTCTGAATACTTCGCTGAGAGAGGTTGTAAGCTTTTCTTATTAGTATAAGTAACATTTTTTTTCATCATAATAAATGATAGGGCATGGAATTTGGCAATCGTTTCCAAAGCCACTGTCATGTATTTATAGTCCAAATTTTCTCGATTAATTGGTTTCTCGAATCCTTCAAAAGTCATATCCTGGATGGCCAACACTCTGTGATCTGGACTAGAATCGGCGTAGTAACATTCAGGAAAAAGATTATCTATGTCGATGTTGGTTTTCATACACTTATAGATTGGCAATACTTTGGTATAGAAGTGGTACTCTTTGATGAATAGCTCGTCCACTACCTTCTCCACTGGCCAGTCTGGGGCTGTTTTGATCAGCAGGTTGAATTCTTTGCCTTTGGTCTCGTCGATCAGCGACACAGGTAACAAAATGGCGGCAAAATTAACCAAATCATCACTCTGTTTTCGTTTAACGTACCTCCACTTTTTGTCTACATTCAATTTCTTTGCGACAGCTTCTAGTACAAATTTCAATTGATCCTCTTCAATGATCATCTTGCTTTGATCTGAAACAAGATGCGAGTGCATTTCCCTTATAACATATTAAGTATTCTTAAAGGCTTTGTTATCTAACACCTATTAATGGAACTATTAAGATAGTGTCTGTTTAAAATTACTGAATAAATATACCTATTTAACTATTCTGACTATCTGATATCTCGCAACAAACCTATTTAAAATTCTTATATAAATTAATTTCGCTCTAACCCACTAATGATATTTAAGGTAATGTAGGTACAAGTACCTATATTATCATATATCATTAGTAGGTAGTTAAAACTAGTTAGATGCCTTTCTTTGTACACGACTCAAAAAACGTCCCTGCATTGCTCCGCGTCCCAGGCGAAACTGGACCCGGCGGTGACGCCTGGAGGTTGAGGGGTAGATCGGGGAGTTGGTTTACCTGGTAGGTACGGGAGCTGGTCGGCTGGCTAGCCGCTCGGAGTGCGGTCCGTGAGACTAGTCATGTGACGCTGTGAACGGAGAAGCCCAGGGTCGACTAAAGCGGGTGCGGATCGGGCTGCTGGTCGGAGGCGGGGTGGTTTGACGTATGGCACGTTTGCGTGAGTCCACGTCAAAGTATACCTTATTGCATTTATACCCGCATCGACTAGCGGCCCTAGATCTGCTCGCCGCTTGCCGAATGCACCACGCAATTACCTGCGTCGCAAGGGTATGTTAACAGCAAACCAATGTGGCGTTCGTCATTGTCGTAGATATAATACACTTTATCTTTCCGTCATCAAAAATAAAATAAATTGTGTGTGTCAGGTCCGACGCACGACTGGAGTTTACTCCTTAAGTTCGATAGTCTAACCAGACGCAAAAAGAGTTTATTTAACTTAAAAAAGATTGATACTGTATGAAAGGGTAAATTAACAAATTAATGAAAATAATATACATATATAAATATATATTTATTCATTTCATATACATTTATTATACATTTAACTTTTTCGAAATATTTTACATTAAACTTTTTACAATAGTCAATTTCAGATGTGCATAAATATATCATTAGGAATGTTGATAAATTATGTAATTATTATTATCAGACTGGTATCATTTTTTTAAATATTAATTAAATCAACATTGTCTGCATTATTAATTACAGTGACAAGTGGTTTATGGTAACTAAAATGAGACACATGGACGTTCGTAGATACGTGGTTCACGAATCTTGAAAATACCGCATCAATGGTTGTACCATACCTCGTTATCCCCATTGCATTATCAGAAACAATATCTAAATTCAGTTCAGATTTTAAAAATTTTATTGATGTCAATTCGTCATCATTGTTTGTCAAAGTTGCGCGACATAGGATGCGCACCAAAAACGTAACGAGGTCATTCATCGATAGATTTTACTCCTCACATTTTTCTCATACCGGGCCCCTTATATATGTAAATCGATTCTTAAGGAGTAAACTCCAAAAAAAACAAAAAAAATATGTAGGTACGGGTCAGCGCGTAAAATCCTTCTCGGTAAATATAGCCTCACTTGAGGCGCGAGATATTATTTTCAATTAGTTCGGATAATACGCAGCCAATGTAAACAAGCGTCACGATGACACAATGTGCATTCAAAAGTTGTTTTTTTAGTTTTAAAATTTTAATAGGCAGCAGGTAAATACGAGTACTTAAATCTCGCGACAAGCTTTTATAACATATAAATTGTGTCAAATGTGTTAAATTTTAAATGACGTTCTAAGTTAACAGTAAAAGTTTTAGTGTAAAAGTTTATTTTTTTCTTTTTAGCGCATTTAAATAAAAGCTTGTTTTTAATAAGGTTTTTTTACCTTAATTTTATTTTATACTTTTAAGTTTTCAACTGATAAGTTCCTAAGTCTGTTCATCTCATTCAACGCATCATTATTGCAAAGTCGTTTGCCAGTTCATTTTGAACAGTCCAGCTCTTCAATGAGGAGCCCTTCTAATGATTTCACCCTACTTAAGGCCACATATGCTTGACCAGTGGCAAAGAGCTTCGAGCCCAAGTATACAATGGCATGGTCGACGGTACTACCCTGCATTTTGTGTACCATACGCCCAATGCTGTTGACGCCTATCCCGCCAAAAGAATATTAACCAGTTCATGCTACAACCCTTACTAAACCAACATGATATCACATCAGATGCTTATATCTGATGTGATATCATGTTATGCAAACATGCACATACGTACATACATTCATACATACTCACATACATACATATATACAGATACCATGTAAAGACCAACAATACTCATTCAGAGTTATTCTCAGCGAGACCTTTCATTTGATACCCATATTGTAGGCACGAATAAAAGAAAATGATCACAGTCGCGCGTGAGCCGAGCTGGCGAACGCACGCAGTTGTCACTACCTACGCATACGTTATATTCGCGTGGCGTTATAGTGTTGATTTATCATTTATTTTATTTATAAAGTGTAATAATAACAATGGACGAAGAAGAAGTAAGTGATTCTGCAATTATTGATGAATGTGAGCGAGAGTTGCAAGGCATTTCAGATGAAATTATTCATAGCGAGTTGTGTTCTGACATAGGCAATTTTGACATCTTAAAGTCAAAGGAAAAAAATAAAAAAAGAATGCGAGAGAGTGAAGGCAGCAGCGAGGATGGTTTCACAACGATTACAAAAAGAAAGCCAAAGAGATTAATAGTTAGGAGTGACATGACCACCGACAATGAGACGAATTTGGACAATAATAATACTCATTCCGAATTTTTTGAAGTTAGCTTGTTTTCGACAAATCCACTCCCAAAACAAATGGCACTAGCCAGGTTTTTTAGAGATGAAAATATCCTAAAAGTTTCGAAGATTAAATACAAAAGTATATTTAAAGCATTTATTAAATTTGATGATAAGATGCAAGCAGAGAAACTTGTATCGAATAAGAAGTTAGTAGAGAAGGATATAAGCTTAGATTAAAACAAAAAGGGTAGATACGGCACTAGCCTCACAAAAGTGATCCGCATAAATTGTGGCCCAAGGCCACAATCGCTTTAGTCACAACTTGACATGCAAATGACGTACATGTGAACGTCAAAAAGAAATATTGCTAAAATTTTGTGATTATATGATAAAACAATGCCTAAGTGTTGTTTTAAAAAGTGCTCAAATTGCTCAAGTACTAAAAATAAAACCGACGGCGTCACTTTTCATTCGTAAGTACTATAAAATATATTTTTTCATAGAAATGCTGTTTGTTTTGAATCTTATTCGGTATTTGTTATTAAGAAAAAGACAACAACACTTGTAAACGTTTGTATGAGGGAGAAAAAGCATAAGCGCGAATATTTGCCATTGTAATGTCAGTCGAGAGTAAAAATTGGGTAGAGTCAACAAAAAAAATATTTAGTAATTTTTTTTTGGAATATTAATTTATGTAGGTTAAAAATATGCTGCATTTATTAAACTCATTACATTTTGGTTTCTTCGAACAGGTTGATCCCTTAACCTGTCAGTACCTTAAGACTTCTTTCGATTTAGAATGGTTCTATGTTTTGGAAACTAATACCAAAAGGATAGAGCGCGTGAAAGTTTGGGAGAGAAGGCTTGTAAAGTCACTTCTAAGTAAAAATTGTACCAAGACGTGACGTCATGGGAAATTTCATATCAACATATCTCTGTAATGTTTTGATTATGTGAATAAGAAATAAATACTTGTCCAATACTTTTATTAATCTACCTAGCCGACGAAGAAAAAAAGGTTTTGTCATCAACCCTATTGCCACACAGTAGGTAGGTACCTAGTAAGATTTTTACTTCTGTTATAAAGCCCAAGGCATAACTTATGTTTATTTTTATTTATCGATGATGATTATTGTTTTTGTTATTTAATTTTACCTTTATATTTTTTATTATTTAAATGAATAATTTAAAGTATAGTTTAGATTAGATTTATAAAACAAGCAATTCATGCTTAGAAGAGAAATATAATAAGTGTTTCGGATTAGATTCTTTTAAATACTACAGTATTTAAAAGAATCGTCTACAGACGATGAAAATTTCCAAATCCAGCAGTACAAGGTATCTTAAAAAATTGTTGACGGTATCGTATAAAAAACCTACTTTTAGTAGGTACGCTTCTTAACTGATTTTTATCAGGTGATATAATAATGTGTGTCTGATTTTAACTTTTTTAATATTATTTTAGTTTTCTTTTTATTTATTGAACAATCAGTTAATGGTTGGTATTGAAATATAATAAGTGTAAAGTTTCTAGTAAAAATTGTATCTCGATTAGATTCTTTTAAACACTGAATACAATAAAAATGACCACATCCAGCAGTATAAGATACCTTAAAAAAATGTTGACGTTATCATGTAAAAAACCTACTTTTAATAGGTATACTTGTAAACAGTTTCATTCCCTCAGCTTTTCAAAGTAGATTGAAAATTGCTCAATGTGGATTTTTTTTATTGAATTTGAATAAAAAACTTATATTTAATAAAAAATACTTTTATTTTTTTCTCTGACGCTACTCTGTAGTGACGTCGAGTACTGGTCGCGTGATTGGTCGGTAGCGCAGTGACGCGGATCTCGCCGTCTCGTTCGCGCTGCAGTTGAAACTTATATTGCTGTTTCGTTCGTTCGATTGTATCTTTACAAACAGGTGGAAGTGTGAGTGTTGCATATGTAGTAAAGTGGGATCAGTTTTTGTTTGATGCAAGTAAGAGCGTACCGTATCTACCCTTTTTGTTTTAATCTAAGGATATAAGAGCCCAATTTACTGACCAAGGATACTTATCGTACGGAATTATCAAGGGTGTTGATTTAGATATAAGCGAAGAAGAATTGGTTAAAAATTTGGATTCTCCCATCGAAGTGATTTCAGCGAAAAGACTAAAGAGGTTACATAGCGATGGTAATTGGGTCGACTGTGAAACGGTAAGGCTATGCTTCAAAAGCACGATAGCACCTTCTCATGCTTACATTTATAAATGCAAATTTGAAATAGAAAAATACGTCTTTCCTGTAACTCAGTGTTCAAAATGCTGGAAATTTGGTCACATTAAGAAATTTTGCAAATTGAATAAGAATGTATGCCCCAAGTGTGGCGGCAGTCATGTTAATTGCGAAATAGAGGTATTTAAGTGTCTGAACTGTGGAGGTGATCACATGGCACTCGATAAGAAATGCCCTTTCTTCCACAAAGAAAAGGAAATTCGTTTAATAATGAGTAAACAAAATAAAACATATAAAATGGCATTAGATACTTACTTACAAAATCAAAATTCAAATGAGACATTTATAGAAAGCTCTATCCCTTTTAGTATTGTTAATAATAATGTATCGACGCCCCCAATAATCACAAGTAAATCCTATAGCAGTGTTGTTAAAGATAGTTTGATTAAGCACTCAAATGGAAGTAATGATACTAACCAAGATCGTACTGAAAATAATACTAAATTGAAATATGGTAAAAGAAATGAAAAAAAGAGAAGAGTCTCAAAAAATCAGACGGAAGATAGAGATTCGACCATGGATTTTGAAGAAATAAGTAGTGAAACAGAGGATAACCCTGCTGTAGACACGCAAAAACGGAAAAAGGAGAGAAGATTTGATTTATGGAGACTACTTTCAAATATGAAGAGAATTATTATGTGTGAGGAAAAATGTGTAAACAAGGTGGTGTTGATTTTTAAAGTTATAATTGAGGAGCTTAAGCCGTATTTTGAAAATATTTTGAGTGGTATTAGTTTATCTGGAACTCTCTTAAATCTAATTAATGGATAAGGTTAATTATTTAAAAATATTCCAATGGAACTCACAAAGTTTGGTACCTAAACAGATAGAATTAGATTCTTTATTAAGTCAGGAAAAAATTCATTTAGCTGTGGTTACAGAAACATGGTTGGACAGCGATAAGACTCCTTACTTTAGGGGCTACAATATATTTAGGAAAGATAGGTTTGATGCATATGGGGGAGTTGCTGTTATCGTACATAAATCAATTAAAGCGCAGATTTGTCGTATAAATGATGTGAACCCAGGCATTGAAGCCATTCATATTAATTTGTTAAATGTTGACATTTTGAAAAATATTATTGCTATTTACTGTCCTTCTTCGGTACATACTCAACAATCGGATTGGGATAAAGTTTTTTCTTTAGTTGCTACAAAATCTTTAGTTTTAGGTGATTTTAACGGCCATCACAGTAATTGGTCCTACAAAACCGACCAGAGAGGTATACAAATATTTGACTCGGCCTTAGAGCACGGTTTCATGTCGCTAAATAATGGTCAGTGTACAAGAATGAGGTTAGTTAACGGTATTTTACAAAGTTCAGCTCCGGATATAATATTTGCATCTACAGACATTTGTACTAATTTTGAATGGCAAGTATCTAATGAAAGTCTAGTAAGTGATCATCTTATAATTAAAATTACAGTAACACTTAGTAACTATAGAAATTACATAAAAAGACGCAACTTTAGGAAAGCTAATTGGGTGAGTTACCGAGATGACTTGACAGAGTCCTTTTTCCTTTCCGACTTTACTAACTGTCAATCTTATGATATTCAGAGCTTGTATGACGGTTTTCTTGATAAGATTTTAATATCCGCACAAAAAAATATTCCAACTATAAAGATTTGTACAGATCCCTCAAATTCATTTAAACCTAAAGAATACTGGAATCCCACGTTATCTAAGTTAGTAGCAGAAAGAAGGTTTGCATTAAAAACTTTCAGAAAGAATCCCACCCCCACAAACCTTCAGAAGTTAGAATTAAAGGTAAATGAATGTAAAAATCTATTGAAAAAAGCTAAATCTAACAGCTGGAAGGAATTTTGTGTTGGTCTTAATGAATCTATCTCGGTCACAGATATGTGGAGAAAGATGCGCTGGTATAAAGGTTCTCGCCAATCACAATTTACCGTTTGCGAGGAAAAAAAAAATCAGTTATTAAAGTCACTTACTGCAGACTATGTTAGTAACTGTCCACCTACATTTAAATCTTATAATGAGTTACTTCAGTCTGTGTTTACCTTACAAGAATTAGAAAGCTGTATTAAAAGGAAAGATACTTCTCCAGGGTCGGATGATATCACTTATTCCATGATATTCAACCTACCTCAAAGTGGAAAGGAATATTTACTGCAGTTATACAATGCTATATTTAGCTTTAGTTTTATACCAAAGCAGTGGCGAACTATTCTTATTGTACCAATTCCAAAAGCTCACAATAATAATGTTGATCATGAACCTAAATTAAGACCTATTTCTCTTATTTCTTGCTTGTGTAAAATCTTCCATAACATGATGTGTAGGAGAATAGAATGGTATGTCGAAAAACGTAATATTCTTTCCTCTTGCACAACTGGTTTTAGAAGAGCTCAATCTTGTCTGGATTCCTTAGCGAGACTTGTTTCATACATACAATTAGGCTTCACTGAAAATAATCCTACTGCTGCTGTTTTTTTGGACATTGAAAACGCCTATAACGACATTTTGGTTGAAAAAATGGTCGAGATCTTGGACGATATTGGAGTCGGTAGCCATATCTGTAGTTATTTGTGGTCCTTTTTAAGTAATAGACAGTTGATGATCAAGAACGATCAAAACAGTATTCCTTATACAAGATGTACCAGCAGAGGCCTAGCTCAAGGAGATCCTTTATCTCCACTGCTGTTCAACATTGCTACTGTCCAAGTATGTCGCTCTGTGAATAATGTTAATATTGCACAATATGCAGATGATTTTGTTTTTTACTTAAGACACAAGGATTTGCATGTTTGCGAAAATCAGTTACAAAAAGCCATAAACGATACTATTAGTATACTAGATGAAATTGGTCTTCATGTATCTGTAACTAAGACAACTGCTTGCGTCTTCAGCAGAGGTTACAAAAGGAGGGAGATAATTTTAAAACTTGGAAATACTAAATTAACGATGGTTGATAATGTCAGATATTTAGGTCTATGGTTGAATAAAAATCTAAGGTGGAATAAACACTTAAACGAAATTGCTGAAAAATCTACTAAATTTCTAAATTTGCTAAAAGTTTTGGCTGGCCCGGGTTGGGGTGTACATCCTAAACACTTGAGTGTTATTTATAAATCCTTAGTCCGCAGTAGGCTTGATTATGGTAGTTTTTTGTACGATAACAGCTCAAAAGCTCAACTTATAAAATTAGATAGAATCCAAAATCAGGCCCTTCGAATTGTTGGTGGCTTTATAAGGAGCACTCCTTTACATACGATGGAGAGTGAATTATGTGTCCAACCACTGTTTATTAGAAGGTTGTATTTAGCTTATAAGTTTTGTGTTAAAAGCATGTCCTGGGAAAATAATGACACCATTAGAATACTGAATGATTTAAATGCTGTTATCAATGAAGCTTACTGGCAATCTAAAAAGAAACCCCTGCTTGTGGTCACCTATAATGAATGTAAAGAGTACAACATTAACACCTCAAGTCCATTAGAAATGTTTAAAATGTCCATTTGGACTTCATACGTAGATGTAAAGAATATAATTATAGATTACATGGATTGTGTTAAGAAAGCCAAAAACAGCTATTTTCCCTCGCAACTTTATATTGATGCTATGATTGAATTGAGAGAGAAGTATACAGGTTGGACCCACATCTTTACAGATGGTTCCAAAGGGACTCTTGGTGTAGGCGCTGCTTTCTTTGATGTAAAGGGAGTCTCTGCTATGTATAAATCAGCTACTGAAGTCTCAATCATGACCATGGAGCTACTTGCAATTTTAGAAGCCATAAATTATATTGACGGATTAGAAGAACATCGGTTTGTTATATTGACAGATAGCAAAAGTGCCTTACAACATTTAGCTCGATGCGCCTATGGGCACAGCAGAGGCACACCGATAGCATATTCTATTTTAAGCAGGATCTATGAAATCAATGTGCGTAATATTACTCTGAGATTGCAATGGATTCCATCTCATGTTGGCCTTAAAGGAAATGAAGAGGCTGACAGACTGGCGAAGTTAGCTATCAGTGAAGGGGTTAACTCAAATATTTTACCATTTTATTCAGAGCTTCTAGGAAAATTGAAAAGAAAATGTTTTGCAAAATTTAAAGAGTATTTTGACGAGCGAAGTAGGGAAAAAGGAATCTGGTACAAGACAATCCAGTGTCAGCCTCTGAGGATTCCTTGGTTTGTCAATTTGAAATGCAGCAGAAGGTTCATTGTAACAGCTTTAAGACTTCGTACTGGACATTATCCATCCAGGAAATATGGTTTCCTCATGAAAAAAGTAGACTCTCCTAATTGTGAAATTTGTGGTACAGTCGATGACGTTCAGCACATGCTTGTAGAGTGTACTAAGTATAACAATAAGACAATGTCATTATTGCAAAAACATAATATAAACGTGTTCGGTGTAGGTATATTCGCAACAATATTGGCAGATTCGCAGTCGGAAATATTCAAAAGCCTTATATATATATTTTGCAACAATGAGTCGTCGTAGTCTTATATTAATTTTGTAATTTATAATATTAGGATATGATGGGGCTAGCATATCTTTATAAGGTAAAAGCCTCTAAATAAACAAGATTAAAAAAAAAAAAAAAAAAATGATCCGCCATTTTGGGTGTTCTGCCATGTTGGATTTGGAATGACGTCATACAGTTAACCATTGCTTCCAAACTGAACATGTATGCAAAATTTCAGCTCAATCGGTTAAAAATATCTGTTTCAAAATTGATTTTCAAGTTTTAGAAGTCCTCCATATTGGATTAAGAGTGACGTCACATTTTTTTCGAGTTACTCTCAGCTAGCCCTTTAATTCGATACCCATATTGTAGGAATGCATTAAAAATGATTTGTCCGCCAGTTTGGGTATGCCGCCATATTGGATTTAGAATGACGTCACACTGTTAATCATGCATTATCATCCGAACTAAACGTGCATACCAAATTTCAGCTCAATCGGTTGAGGGCAAGTGCCTTAAAATTGAGTTGTAAGATTCCACCCGAACAAACATACATTGCAAGTTAAATAAAAGCTTGTAAAAACGAAGTAACTCGCTGGCCAATGACTGGTAAAAATACTTTATTTTGGGGGTCATAAGGTTGATTTCACATTTTCCTTTTTTCACCTTTTTCGTTTTTTTTTCCAAGCATCAGATTTAATTTATTGTCTTGTTCGTTTTATAAGATAAAAGGTCGTATGCACGAAATAAATATTTTGGTATTTGTAACTTTATTCCTTAGTGACATGGTTGTTATTAGGTTCAACTTAAACTGTTTTAAAACATTTATCTTTGTTCATTGGAAATCGAACTGCATTTGATTTTTTATGCAACCCATTATCTATAAAATTGTTGATCGAAGCTTCTGTGGGTTTAATCTAGTGTCAGTTAAATTGAGATTTCGCAAAGTTGTTGCAAGTGGACCTAATAAATATTCAATAATTTCAGTAAATATGAATTTACCCCGTAAATACTGCTTGAGCGAACCCCAAGCAGCCGCATTGGTCAATGATATTTTGAAGAAAATTAAAAAAATGTGTCAAACTCTAAAGTACCGTGCCCGTATTGGTTCTTCGAAAATTCCCGTCTGATGCGTAGTATCTCCTTAGTAGATTGTGGGCATCTCTCGATAGTCGACACTACTGCGGCACGTCTCCGCTCACCGGAAAAGGAACTGGTAATTTCCGCTCATCACAGGGACGAACTGCAGTTTATTTTTATATATCAATCAATCAATCATTTATTTATTTGTGGTACATAGGTAATACATGGATAATATGCTAAAGTATAAAGTCCAACTAAGACCAGCCATCAGGTATACAAACATAAATTTAACAACGGAACATTAAATGATACAACTTTAAAAAAAAAGTCAATAAAATTAAAATTCTGAATAAAATTTCATCCTAATATTAATTGTCATTAATCTTAATTAAAGTTACTTGTCACTTATTTAGGTCCTTGTTCATCAGATATTCATTATAATACTATATTTAAAAAGACACAATTACATTAAAATTAAATTCAGAAGTCTATCATAATATTAAATGTGTGTGTGTGTGTGTCATTCATCGTAATTAATTTTATATATCACTTAATTAAGTCCTTAACCATTAGATATTCATTTATAAAGTAGGTTAATATGAATTTGATCAATGCACTGGATTGTAAACCTAATTTTATTCTAGATCATGGAAACGTTTTCAATCAAACTTTTACGAATAAACGCAGTTTTTGTTTTTGTTGCTTTTTAACTTTTCAAATATTCTTCAAATATACTTTTCAAATTTCTAACTTCTAGTATGTACGGTCGCGGTCAGATAATGTTTACCACCTTAAGGATCATTATTGCATGCACACATTTAGGTCACAAGTTCTAAATGTCTATTTCATGATAATTTGATTGACCATAGATTATCTTTTTTGTAATGATATGACAATCAATCGCTCTATCTAGGAGATGGACCTAAGTACTACTATCAAGGTTTAATATATATATATATATATATATATATATATTTAATACTTCGCCTCACACTAGGATTTTCTTCTGTATCGTAGGTGTAATTACAAAAAATCTCACATGCACATTGCACATACGCCCAGACCAGGACAAATTTCTGTAGGCCATACAAATATGTGCCGTACGGAAATCGAGCCCGCGACCCGTTGCGCAGTAGGTGACGAACTCTGCACTAGCCGTGACGTCAACAGTCGCAGCATTGAACCATAAGCCCCCATAAATTTTCAATAGGGTTTAAAACAGCAGACCGAGCGGGCCATTGAATGGGATGCATGTCACGGTGCAGGTTGAACCACGCCATAGTAGCACGGGCCGTGTTAATCCGTGCATTATCTTGAACATAAGTAATTGGCGGGAATTCTGTTGCAGGATACACTACGCACAGTAGGCAGCATCACTTCTGCCAAAAGCGACACATAATTAATGGCAGTAGCCCTATTCTCTAACGACGCCAGTTCTCCGACGCCGTCGAGGCTTATCCACCCCCATAATCTATATACCCCATATAATCTCGTTGTTTGTGTCAAAATAAATGTATTTTCTTTCTTTCATAAGTTTAATGTTAAGCGACCTGACCCGTTTTGAGTTCCGAGTTCATCATACCGAGTTCGATTATGGCGCCATAAAGTTAATCTTCCGATTTGGCATGATTTAAATGTTTTCTCATCGGTAAATATAGTATTCGACCAAGCAAAATCATGATGTTGTCGCGCAAAGTTAAACCGGGCTGTTTCGTGGTGAAGTTTCAGCTCTACTTTAATAGCATGGTGTCTGTAGTGTAGTCCAGCACTGTGCAAATCTCGTCGGATCGTCCGAGCACTCACATCATATAAAGCAGTAAATTAACTAGTTGGTGTGAAACCGTTCTCTTCATAACGACGAATCATTTCTGTTATTTGCGCGGCGGTTGGAATTGGTCGTCGTCCTGAATTAATTCTATGATCTGTTGAGTGCCCTTCTTCGCCGTGACGCCGGATCCAAAACCTCAAAGTGAATCGTGATTTATTGAGTTCTCGTGATATATCACTAATACTTTTCCATCTTCGAAGAGAAATATTATTTCAGCCCTTTGCTCCAGGGTCAAACTTCTACTCATTTTATTTCGTTATGAAAATATTATTCGTAAAATTTTGCTCTTGTCCAAACATTTTTTTTTTATAAATGTCATTTCAACAAATATAGAAATGAGTTTCAATATCAAAAAGTAATATATAATTCTTTTTGTTATTCTCGATGCGTCATAGTTTCAATAAAATGCATAATAACTTTTGTAAGGTAATAAGTTACTTGATATGGCATTTTAGACTTTAGTGAAAAAAGTGTGACATAGAATCTAATTTCAAAACTGGTAAACATTTTCTGACCGCCACCGTACGTAATAGTCAATCTTAAAATATTGTTTTTTTTTAAATATGGCAAACAAGATGTCATTCTATCTAAATAGAACATTGATTGCCTACATTTTTTTCTGAGCTTTGAATGTTAATTATTTATTTGTAGAATTGTCCCAAAAAACTATCCCATATCTAAGTTTCGACACACCAAATGTGTACTGATTTTTAGTACTTGTTACATCCTTTACGGCGTTGTGGTTCAAGTTTCCATATAAAATTTGACAATGACACTTCGCACTCGCAGACTATTTTAATTCGATATTGGTTCTTGCTAAGGGTACAAAACGATTACGCAGTGTGACGCTAGCTAAGAAGCACATATCATCAAGTTGACCACAGAACACAGAAAAAGGTTGACGATAAACGTGCACGCAATCCTCGTAGAAATATTGGCAAGTAACGTTAGCGTCTCGCTACGTTCCGATACATAAGTTTGCGTTCCTGCTTCTCAGTCTGCTCTTACGCTTATTCTTAGGGGCGCTGCCTAGTTTGCGTAAAAACTTTGACGATGGCGATACGTATCCTTTCTCGCTAGTTCTTTATGCACACCCCTCTGACTAAGCAGTTAAGTCGGAGGGAGACGAAGCGATCGTGCGGCCAATATTTCGTACAGGTATTGACTGCGCCAGCGACCTCCCACTCTAGAGTCACCACTACGTGGGTATATATCACACCACAACACAATGTGATCAATCCTCGATCCACTTAAAAAGAACCATTGATGGATATTTTTGCACTCTTATGTCCACTTATCACAGGTTTTTTTGCAAAATATTCTTCTCAGGAAGCTATAAAAAAATTGGCTTTTGAAAAAGCTCCACTGATATCCAAACAAATTGATTCACTCCATTCTAAATTCAAATCAGACCACAGGAACTCAATTAAAAATCTTGCAAACTAGGTACTTACCCTAACTCCAGCCCTGGCATTGCAGTAGAAGACTGCTAGTTGACTGCACGAGGCTTTCATCTCGACTCGGCTATGATTAACCTCGTCTTTACGCGGCAAAGATTTAAATTGGCATGCCTACTCTCCATCGTAGCACCAATTATACGCTAATTTTCTTCGCTGCACAAACTGGTACCTCCTGAAAGAAAATATACGAAACCGATAATAATTTAAATAAAAAAGAACTGCCAATTGCGAGTCCGAATCGTACTTAGTGTTCAGTACTATCGAATAAGGTTTGACATTTGAAATGCAGCGGTTGATAAGATCGAGCAGAAAACTTTAGGAAAGTCCCGTTTTATGTACTTACTATATAATTCGAATAGCTTTCGAATGCTAAATGTTAATGTGAAATTTTGCATGAAAACGTTTTCGTACGTTATGGTGCTGCTGTTCAAGATTCCATATATAATTTGAAAATGACATTTCGGACTCGCAAACTATTCAAATTCGATATTGATTCGTGCTTAGGGAAAGGTACTGTACCCTTAGCACGAACCAATATCGAATTCGAATAGTTTACGAAATATCATTGTCAAATGTGTACTGATTTTTAGTTCTCGTTACGTACTTTGTGCCGCTGCTGTTCAAGTTTCCATACAAAATTTGACATTAACATTTCGGTTTGCAAACTATTCGAATTCGATAATGGTTCGTGCTAGGAGTACTGTACACATTTGGCAATGACATTTCGGACTCACAAACGTTACAGATTCGATATTGATTCGTGCTAAGGGTACTATACCCCTAGCACCAACCAATATCGAATTCGTATCGTTTGCGAGTCCGAAATGTCATTGTTAAATGTCTACTGATTTTTAGTTCTCGTTACGTACTTTGTGCCGCTGTTGTTCAAGTTTCCATACAAAATTTGACATTGACATTTCGGTTTGCAAACTATTCGAATTCGATAATGGTTTGTGCTGGGGGTACTGTGAATTTCCTCTGAATTATAAAGTGCAGGGTTTGCATTCACGCAGCACTCACATTTATTCTTTATTTCCAGACACACAGACTTCAGCCATCACAAGGAGCAGTTCTCCGATAGCTCAGGACTTCGTACTCGAGTTCGCGGTGTGTGATTCCTGTAATTTAATTTTAATTAAATAAATATCCTAGGCTCTGGTTTCTTTTTTAAAAAGACGAAA